CCATATTCCTTCACTAATGAGCCCCATACTGTCTCTATATAAATAATTAAATCAGCTAGGCTTGGTAGCTCATGCTTGTAATCTCAGTACTTTGGGATGCTGAGTGGGAGGACTGCTTGAGGCCGGGCGCTTGAGACCAGCCTGGGCAAGATAGCAAGACCCCTTCTCTACAAAATTAAAAAAAAAAAAAATTAGCCATGAGTGTGTAGTAGTGCACACCTGTAGTCCCAGCTACTTGGGGGCTGAGGCAGGAGGATTGCTTGTGCCTAGGAGTTGATGGCTGCAGTGAGCTGTGATCACACCACTACACTTTAGCCTGGGCAACAGAGCAAGACCCTGTCTCTTAAAAAAAAAAATGAACAAAAACAAACTGAAATAAGATTTCATTCAGTTTCATGTGTTGGGAACAAACATACGTATTTGCTGATTTCTAAAATCTTACATTCTTGGTTTTTTTGATTAACTTGAGTAACAAAATGTGTTTTGGGCACATAGTAATTATTGAGTAAATTGCCGTCAAGTCCTTATTGAGGAAAAAGACTTTCAGGTCCTTCAGGCCTCTCTTTGTATAACTTCAGTTTCTGTATTTATTCTTTCCCCTTTTGATACCTGTGTTTTCTCTGGAAATAGTCTCCTGTTAAACTCCGGTCTCAAGATAGGATCTGACAGTGGTTATTAAATGATGCTAGTATGTTGTCTCTTGTGGGAATATTTGTATTTTCTCTACCCAATGAAAAGCATTGTCTCTTTTAAAAACGATTCACGTGTAAGAAAGCCAGATGTTTCTGTCTTCTGCCAGAATTCACCCTGAGCTCCTCACCCTCCCTTCCTCGCCAGAGTCCTGAGAACAGTGCCTGGCATACAGTAGGCACGTAACAAATCTGTGAATGAATGAGCATATTGAGGAAGTTCAGGACTCTAACCAAGAATGCGCTTCTTTGGAGGCAGTCTTATTTTGAATTCTTTCTTGAATGGAAGGAACTAATGCTGTTTCCCACCTCAGAGCAAGTCCTGGCTTTGAGTTTTGTTATATTTGGACTACATAAAGAAACCTTTCTAGAGCAAACCTCTTCTGTTCCTCTTTTAAGAGGATGCTTTTTATTTTGCTCCAGCCAAGCTCCGTGTGCTCAGACAGGTGCCAGATTCAGCTACTGTCACAGGTCGTGCCTGGCAAAAGTGTGCAACGGCACAGGTGCTGTACTACCTGCATCCATTTCAGAGGGTGTGTAAATAGACTTCAGATGGAAAGCATCCGTTGGAAAGTTGTGGGAGCCTCTATTTTCTTAATTTGCTGACATGACTAAGTTCACCCAAAGGGAAGAGAAGCCGCACGTAAGGGGGCGTCCGGCCCTGGGGCAGTAAGTACGCTGTCAGCCAGCTCAGGGTTTTCTTTGGTGCTTTTTCTGCCACCTCTTCAGTCAGGGAGACAGAGCTTGCATTGTCTCTTGACCAAAGATTCTTGGATGGGGAGTGCTGGTGTAGCTGTGAACATCAATTTTCTAATTGAAACTCTAAGCAAACTGGTAGAAAGGGTCTATAAAGAACCTACAGAGAAGAGAAAGCAAACTGTGTTTACTGTAGCCCTGCCTGCCATCATCCTGGCGCGGGGGTCTCTGAAAAAGGAGAGAGAAGAGACCTGGGCAGTCAGTCCCACGGCAGCCTGCCTTTCCCGAGGTTCTCTGTGTGCCCCTTAGAGACAGGAGAGAGAGAGAGAGAAGGAAGAAACTAGAAATTGAATAGAGCAAGGGTACAACAACTGTTCACTCTATACATTCATTTTTATTTTTTTCTGTCCCTCACTGTTTTCCTGTCTTTCTTGATGACAGAGGGAGGCCAAAAGCTTCTGCTGGAAATCTGCAGTTTAAGCAGGAAAGAAGTAGAAATTGCACACTAAGTGTGGTGGCCTCCATGTCTGGACTGGCCACCTCTCTGACCTACAGGGACCCCTGTTACTTAACATTTGGGGTCTCCCATCAGTCCGTCCATGTGGAAAAGGCTATTCTCAGGCCATTTCTATAGATTCTCTGCTTCATTTGCATTTATTTTGCCTGCTTGTCAGTTTTAGTAAACACTTTAATTGAAAAAAAAAATACAGAAAAGCCGTTTCCCTTTCCTGACTCTGCCTTCGCAGAGCAAAGGATCTTCGTGGCAGGACCCCACAGCCGTGCCTTTGTGTTCCCGGGTTAAGCCCAGCGAGTCTGTGTGTTTACCTGGAAACAGCCGTGGGCAGGGAGCAGTGAGTGGAGCTGGCGGGCTGTGGCGTGGAGCCGGCACTCCCGGGTGACACCCCACCCCACCACAGCCCACCGCGGTGCCACCCAGACCTGCATTCTGGCCTGACGGCGTGGGCAAGGGGACCCCGAGTGATGGCGGTGCCACTTGAGCGGCACGACGCGATGGGCCCCGGCCCCCCATTTCTCTCCTCTTTTCCTGGGGCCACTGATGGGCCATGTGACTTAGCACCCAACTGCTGTGAGGATGGGCCTCCCTCCGGGAGGAGCTGTAGCAGCTGCACAGAGCCTGCCGCAGCGCCCTGGGCTGACTTCCATCCGCCCTCCCCTCCGCTAAGTCTCGCCTCCCTGGGCTGCTCTCCCTGCTGCAGGCGGCTCATCGTGGTCACTCAGCTCTGTTTCATGGGGAACCTGATTAGGACACCTGCATTCTTAGTTCCTTGTCTGCGAAAGGGAATTAGAATCCACTTGCTTTGTAGGTAGGGCTGTGAAGATCAAATAATTTAAGCATATATGACACCGCCTCGCACAGAGTGAACACTTCGTAACGGGGCTCTTCCGATCGGTGTTCCTCATCGTGCGAAGGTGTGGTAGGAAAGGCCTTCTGAGGAGGAGTGCAGTGTCCGTGTGCTCTCTGCTCGTCCAGGTTGACGGTGGGACAGACGGTGGTGGAGCTTGCGGGTTCGGAGGGCAGAGCAGAGGCGATTTTCCAGTGGTGGATGGTTATCACTCTATGGTGATGGTGTGTTTTCCCATGTTTTCTATATTTTTCTTTTAGAAAAATTACTAGGGATGTTGATGCTGTTTTTTTCTAGTCCTGGCTCTGTGACAGTTGTTCAGAGTAAGATTCCTGGTTACGTATCACTTGCTCTCCTGGAGTGATGAGGAACAAGCTTCTTCGTCGCGTGTGGGCAGGAATGATGCCCCAGAGGGCATGGAGCGGAGGACCAGCAGTGGGCACCTGCCCTCGGGAGGGGCAAGGCCGTCCAGTCCTCATCTTCCTACCAGTAATACCAGAGCCAGGATTTTTCACATGCTAATTTGCTAGCACGCGGGTCTCCAGAGTGGAGGTGTGGGCTCTCTGGGTGTGCCTCGTCATCTAGCCAGTTTGGGAAGAAAATATTTATTTTTATCTTACTCTTTCCAAAATTCTGTTTCTGTGTAATTTCTGTAATGTTCCCAGTATACTAGTAACATGTATATGATTTATAAATAAATACACAAAAATAGAGGTAGAAGCCTAAAGTCTGTTCGGATTGGGCCGTGTTGCAGAAGTTCTGCTCACCGGCATGCAAGGCCATTGTCATTAGACTTGGCCATGCAGTGGTCTGGTCTCCCACCTGTCTGTGCCTAAGAAGGGCCTGGCCCCCTCGGGGGTAGGTAGAAATCTTTCACGTGGCATTTAGAACAGGGGGTTGCAAAAGTGTGCGAGGGTTGACATCATTTAAAAAGTGGAGATAACAATGTTTTCAAATTTTTATGTACTGAAAAATCAAACTTAAGTAAATGAAAGTATTATTTTTGTTAGAGGTTTCTCTTCTAACATTGGCCTGTGTGTGGCCTCCATATTCATGTGGAGGAAGATTGGAGATTTCTAAAAGTTGAGAGGGTGTCTTTGACACCTTTTGTGCTCATTGCAAACCCCTCTGGAATTCTTGACCATGATATGATTTTATAGGCTTTTGATTTGTAAGCATGTAGTATTTAGTTTAGCTCCATAATAAACCGCTGATCGAAATTAGCAAGAAGAGGGGCATTGATATTGAAATGTAAGTTAATAGGGAATATAAAAATGGGACTCATTTTGCAACTTTGCCTTCCAATATTCTTCCTGAGGCAACTAAGCTATGTTATCTGAATAAAAATGTCACGTTTCTTGGTCTTGGGTGTCCGTAGCCTCAAAAACCAAGTCAAAAAATCACCTCTGCTAGAGTGCTTGTGTCCTGACGTCTTTCCCTTCTTTCCATTTCCGGGGGTCAGAGCCTATCCTTACTTTCCCCTGTTGTTTATGCAGAAGTACTTGCAAGTGGCAGCCAGAAAAGCCAGTTCTCACTGTGTCATTTAAAATAAGAGCCAATTGATCTTTAAAGCAAAAAAAAAAAAAAAAAAGTAAAAAATTCAGTTCATAAGATCAGTTTTTGCCTATAATACATTGTTAAATTTCCATCTATATTTTACTATACATTTAGATTCCATACAGAAAATGAAATAATTTATCATTTTGTAATTAATTTGCCCACATGGAAAATTGTTTCTCACAAAGTTAAGATATTTTATCAGCATGTATGACTACTACTTAAAAACATCAAAATTTGTCTTTCTGTCTGATGAACGTTATTAAATATTATCTTAACCCCAGAGAGCTTGTACTGTGAATAGAATGGTGAATCAAAAACAAAACAAAACAAAAAACCAGCTAGGGATACCCTGGTCCACTGAATTGCATCTGGCCCTAATTTTTGTTGTAAGTTCAGAGGTGTGATGGAAATCTCACGATGGCTGTTTCTTTAAGCTATTACTGGGTGTACACTTCCTTATACGGTAAAAAATCTGCCAATCCACATGGATAGTTGATCCACATGGACTTCGAACCTGTCTAGAAGTCCGGGAGCGGGGCAGGAGGGAGGGCCACAGGAGAAATTAACACAAGCCACCTGGCACAGGCCCGTTGTGGGGGAGGCGGGGCCTGCCCTCCCCGCCCCACCTCCCCTTCTGCCCTCTGGGCACCTCAGACAGCCCATCCATACCAGGCCCTCTCATGCTGCCGTCTGGGGTCTGAGGTGGCTCTGGCCGAGTTGCACTCTCTCCCTTTCACTCTCTGCGCACGTGTGCTTGGATCTTTGGACTGAGGTAAGTTCTGTTCCCAGGGCTGCAAGTAACCTGCCTCAGGTCCACCTGTGTCCTTCATGGAGCAAAGGTGAGGCCTGTCGCCATCCAGCCCCCAACAGGGGAGCCTTCTGCCCGAAACCTCTTGGTGGTTTGCCCCGTGGGCACGGCCTGGTGTGCTGGCAGCAGCTGGGCACCTGTCCCTCTGGGCACCTGTCCCTCCTTTGGGCTTCTCTGGAACCCAGTTCTTCTGGTTCTCCCCTCTGTTTGCTGGGCTGCTTGACCCCTGACCCTTCTTTCCCAGGTCTCTGGGGGAGGTAGGTGTGGGGCTATAAATGCCGCATAGGCCTCGGGAAACTGCCATGAAGCTGAAATAGGTGGGCACCTGGCTGTTAACGGAAAAAGAGAGGGAATGCCCCGGAGGCTCTGCTGTGCGGATTTTCTCGAGTGGGGCATCCGAGGTGCTGCTGCGACCAGTTGTGGGCCACTGCCACATGCCTCTTCAGGGGGACTCCGAATTGGAAACAGGAGCATGACCGGCCGGCTGAGGGACCGGAGTGCCTTCGGGACATTCTGGGAGCAGAAGGAGTAGAAGGAGCCGAGGCTTGACATCTGAGACCTCTTCGAGTCCCACAATTAAAAAATAGCATTTATTTATGGAGCGTTTCATACGGGCATGAAGTTTAGTTCCACACATGCCTGTGTGTGAGGCGGTACCGTGAACCCTCAGCACACCTTCAGCACTGCGCATGTGCTCCATCCTGGGCTCCCCTCGCCCCCACCCCACTGCTGTGTTTTCATGTTGCCAACTTAATGCACGGTTAAAAACATTTGGCTCATTTTGCTTCAGATGTTAGGGACTGCTCTATTTATTGTACTGTATTCCGTTTTGCAGTTACGTGGAGCATCTAACACAGCGCTCGCTCACTCCCCTGTCCGCTGTGTGGGTGCGGCCGGCGCGTTGGGTCAGGCCTGGGGATGGGCATTTCAGTTGCTTCCGCTCTGCTGCTGTGAGGCGCACGTCGCTGGCGCATGGCCTCCTGCACGCACCTGCAGTGTTGACCAGCGATTCTGAGTCTGGGGGCTGTGATTTAGACATGGGAGGTGGTCAGGCTCGGACAGACCTAGGCTGGGGTCCAGGCTCCCTCCCCTCCCAATTGTGGTGTCTTTTAACAGCTACTTAATCTAAATTAGTTTCATCTTCTATGAAAGTGGGGTGATGGCACCTCCCTTGTGGGCTGTCATGAAACTCGTTGAGACACTGTGTTCCAGTGCCCAGCTCATAGCTAGCGTTCCATCAATATTAGTCACCTCCTTTCCTCATTTGAAATGGGGGTAATGCTCCCTTGTCAACTGCTTGTGTATAGGAATCATTACAAGATGTTTGATAGTTGCCAGGAAGGTGTTCAGTGACATTAGGATTGTGTCACCATCAGCAATACCACCCGACAAAACCAGTCTGGCCGGTTTTCTCTCCCAGCCCTTGTCGGGCAGCCCTTGAACTTACAGGCAGGCTGGCTGGTGCTGAAACCAGCGGGCCAGGCAGCCCTGCCTGGGAGCCCCTTATCCTTACAGGTATTGAAGTTTCAGCCAAAAGCACTGAGGTGTGGGCTCCACAATTTACCACCAAAGTGGGGACCTCCAGCCACCGCATAAAAAATATATATCTTTTTTCTTGCCCATGAAGAAGTTATAAATGCCACTGTGGGCGTATTTTCTCAGCATGTCTCTGTCATTGGCCCTTTTAGCCTTAACCCTTCAACCTCCTATTAGACTGTGGTCATGCAGGAGTCTTGACTATGGCTGGGTGCAGATCCTCCCTCCTGGGAGGCCGGGCTCCACTGTGGCCTGTGCGTGCTGCAGCAGCCCTGGGCCTTCAGTGGACCAGAACCCAAGCCTGCATTTGCAGGGCTCTTTGAGACCGACTCTGCCTCCGGGTTTTGTAGCCCAGACGGCAGAGCAACTTAGTGAACTTGACACAATGCGTAGGGCGGTTGGTTCCTGGGGTGCTTTCCATGCACAGGGGCCTGGCGATGGTAAGGGGGAGGAGCTGGCAGTTGAAGTGTCCAGCTGGGCTCTCAGTCGTCCTCCAAGCTGCCCCTCCACCCTCTTACCCCGTCTAGGTGCAGGACGACACCACCGTAGGCATCCACCCAGCACATTCCTGGAGGCTGGAGTGGCTGCCGTCCTCTCTGTGCCGGTTTTCATGGCCTTGGTTCTCAGCTCTTGCCCGCTTTTTCCTGGGCTCCTGAAATATTCTTCTGATTTCCTTGCTCAAGCCTCAAACCTTTCTCATCCACCCTCCACATTGCTGCCAAAAATATAATTTTGAAACAGATCCCTCTGACCTTTTATCCCCTGCTTAGAACCACCCATTTGCTCCCTCTTTGCGTGGTGGTGCTCCCTGCAGGGGGGCGGCTCCCGGACCCCACCGAACGCATGGTGCGCGCTCCCAGAGCCCTGGTCTGGACACACCTCTGGCCCTGTCCCCCCCAGTGGAGCACAGATGACTGTTCATAGGCAGGACCCTCTCCCAGGGCCACCCTCTGGGTTTGGGGCAACTTCTGGCGACCCAGTGGTAACTCGACACTCCATGCACTATTGCTTTGTTATTAATAGGAATGTTGCTAATGACACCTCAGTGAATCCTGGCACCCTGCGTGCAGGTCTCTGTCCACACGTCAGTTCTGCCTGCCTTGGCTGTAGAAGACAAGGCTCATCCACATCCTGCCTTGCCCAGCCCCCCGGGTGACACCAGCTTCTCTTCCCTGACACCTGTTCTCAGGTTCCTCGGCAGATCGGTCAGGTGCCTCTGTGCCCTGTGCCACCTGCCAGGGTTCCAGGCACCCTCCTCGGCCTTGCTGTGAGACTTGAGCCCTGCGAGGCAGGGAGAGCTGCTGCTTCAGCCTGCGTGCTTCCTCTCCCGGATTCCATGCTTCACACTCGGCAGCTACGGAGTAAATGCGCCGACCCCCCCCCAACTTCTGACTGTTTGAACACAGCCATGTCTGAATACACCCTCTCACGTAAATCACTTTGCCTTCTTCTCCAGACTTCCATATGACGGTGACTAGGTGGAGCATGTCACGCTCGGCGCCCCGTTGGTTCGCAGCGCAGTGACCTGGCCGAGCCTGCCGTCGTTCCCTAGCCCGGCCGGCTGGACGTGTGCTCACGCCCGGCCCTTCCCAGCGGGGCCGTTTGCCCTCGGGTCTCAGACCCACGCCCAAGTCGCAGGAGTCCTGTCCCACGGCCACCCACCATGGAACTGTCAGCCCAGTCCTGTTGTCCTTTCTCTCTCTTCAGCTTGTGACTCTGCCGACTCTTTCTTCCATGAAACTTCCTCTTCCGGCCTCCTTGGTCACGGGCTCTCTCCTCTGTTCCCTGCTGCCTTCGTGGACTCCTTTCAGGAAATGATGCTGAGACGAAAGAGAGAATTGCCAGGGCTGCTGTTGTGGATGGGCTGTCAGGAGGGCCTCTTGGTGGAGGGTCTTTATGAAGAGAGGAGTGAGCCATGCTGGGGTGTACGGCAGCATGTGTAAATGTCCTGGGGTGGGGCTGAGCTTGGCTTGTGTGAGGAACAGGAAGGCAGGCAGTGCGGCAGGAGTCGCGGGCTCTGGGGAGCATGGCTGGAGGTGAGGTGGGAGAGAGGTGGGCGTGTGGAAGTGGTGTGGGGTTTTTCTGGAGTTTGCGAGATGCCCTCAGAAGTGCTGAGAAAGGCAGGATGTGATCTGAACCCACCCTTCTCGTACCGCCAGAGAAGTCATGACTGTGTGCAGGTGCAAACCTGTTATCGCCCTGCCTGGAGTCCTCCGTGGGTTTCCTGTCACCTGTGGGATAAGGTCCAGGCTCTGCTGTCTGGTCCCCGCGCCATTCCACGGCTGCCCCACGGCCCACCCTCAGTCCCCCGCGCGGTGTCCCTGCAATCCCAGTTCTTCACACATCCTGCAGCCTCTCCGTCTTCTCCTTCTCACACAGATCTGCCCCCTGTTCCTGTCCCTTCCCCAGCACTTAGCTCAGCCGTGGCCTCTGGAGTCGGGCCCTGAGGCTACCTCCCCTCTTCCTTAGGCAGAAAGGGCCCACGCCGTTATCTGGGGCTCCGAGGGCATTTCGTGTGAGCCCCTCTCACAGCACAGGCGGTGCTGCCCGCGTTTCCTGCCAGCGGCGGACTTGTCCCGGGCAGGCACGCGCCTCATGGTGTGCGGCCCCTGTCCCAGAGACCGCCTGCAGGAGCCAAGCAGCAGATGTCTCTCTGAGTGAGTGAACAAATGAATAAAAGTTGTGTAGTCTTTCTCCCTTTTCATTTTCAATGCAAGTTATAGATACAATATAGTTCTATAAATAAGATATGCAAGATCCATTTTGTAATTTGTTTCAGGTGTTTAAAAATACTATATAGTTTTAACCATTAGTTGAACAGTCAAGTGTATGCTTTTAAATAATATGTTTATTAATTTATTTAGGGTAGTAAATTATAACTATCTTCATTAAGTGTTGCTTCTAGTTATAAGAATATATTTCAAAAAGAGCTATCTTATTATTTCCGGAAAAATAATTTTAAAATTAGCAAATAAGTACATTATATTACAGGTAGATAAATAATATATTCCCTTTGTTATGACAAATACACAGTGTCTTGAAAGCTTAGCCTTAAAATTTAATTTCATTAATCAGAACATTTTCTCATTGATCATAGATACCTAATTGTAGATCTTTTCTTATAGGGATAGAGAGGGGAGATTTCATAAAATCTGATTGAATTTTTAGTGTTTTTGTTAATATATCTCTTTTTCTTTAGATCAGATTATTTTACTAAACATTAAAATGGCTTTGGTTTCTTTTCTTACATATTTTGTGTGATTAATGCCAAATTAGCAATGTTTTTTAAAAACATAATCTCAACTGAAGTGTATTTTATCTATACATCTTATGGGTATGTGTATATTTTATAGATTTGTCTATAATAATCCCAATAAATAACTTGTTCTTGAATGAAAGCATATTCAACCTAAACATGAGGCTTATAA